AGCATAATGATGAGGTAAACTACTCTAATATTTTGATGTCAGATCTTAACTAACAAACATGAAATAAATATACCCAAACAAATTATCAACAATAGATTTAGATTTCTACTTAGTAAGGACATACCTCGCAGACGTGCAGACACACTCTCGGACTTGGAAGACTTGCTCTTCTTCTTGCGTGGTGCTTTAGCAGGTTGTGTTTTCTGATTCCTAGAAAAATAATTTGAGATACAATTTAGCCTAAAACCACATCAAAACATTATATCATGCAAGGCAATATAATTGACAGACGTAGTAATGGTAAAAAATCTGAAATTTCCTCGTGAATTTATTGTAATCACGTTTGTTTACATTCACTCATTCACTAACAGACACTACGTACTGCACTTGGGGATTCACTACACTTCACTCAGCAGTACATGGGAATATTGATACGTAAAATAACATTCTATAAGCCTACTATGTCTATGAAGTAGCATTATATTCAACAACAGACACAATAAAAATATATATATCATAATATAAGTAAGTTTCAGAAATAAACGTACCTTTTCAGCTGTTTTCTGGGGCCAGTTCCGCTCGTCGATGATCCGTCATTCGACAACAAACTCGTTTCTCTACGAGTGGGACTAGTAATATTTTGAAAATTTGTCGGGCTCATTTTCTTGGGAAGAATAACTAAAATGGGATAAGGAGGTATCGGAGTATGAGGAGTCACTATCTCTTGATGAAATTTCATCGCTAGAATAATTGCTAGAAGACATTTTGGTATGATTTGGAGACGTTTGATGAACGAAAATCAGTAAAAGTCCGATGCGCACAGCTGTGCCAGTGGGGACAAAAAAATAACGGGTAATTTTCAAATAACGCTACGGGTACTTGCGTACTGTCCTCTACGTTGAAACTTTACTCACACATAGAACGGGAATATCTCGATCGAATGCTTTTTTTTCTTTTAATAAAGGAGAATTTTTGTTGTTGAAATTTCTATGTGTACATTTTCTTTTTACACATGGTTTATGTATGGTTATCTTTGAGTGCACTAGTCACTACTATATTTTTGTAAATAAAATCAAGAATATTAATAAAGGAACAAAATTGAAATTTCGTACATTTTCTTTTTACACATTGTTTATTTATGGTTATCTTTGAGCTCATTGCACTATTCAATATGTGACCCCACAGCTAAAAACCACCAATAAGTCGCAAAATGAACAACAGAGATAATGGCAGGAGAAGCGGGCTTTTTTAATAGGATGACAGTCATAAACAATGAAATATGCAAGTTTAGAAAATAGACAAAACATAGTTTACAAATTTGTATCATGTCATAAAAAATGTAAGTGCAAAAAATAGGAAGAAAATAGTACTCGCAAATAGGTAAAAAGAAGTCTGAAAAAGATAAAGGTGAAAAAATAGGGAAAAAATAGTCTGAAAAAGATTAAGGTGAAAAAATAGGGAAAAAATAGTCTGAAAAAGATTAAGATGAAAAAATAGGGAAAAAATAGTCCTATTTTTTCCATATTTTTTTGGAGAAAATAGGTAAAAAATAGTCTGGAAAAAGATGAAGGTGAAAAAATAGTTTGGTACTCGAAAATAGGAAAAAATATAACTATTTTTTTCCTATTTAAAAAAAAAAATAGGAATAAAATAGTCCACAAAAGTTGAAGGTGAAAAAAAATAGTTTGTGCTTGAAAATAGGAAAAAAATAGGACTATTTTTTTCCTGTTTTCTTATAGGAAATAGGAAAAAATAGTCTGAAAAAAAATATAGTTGAAACAAAATAGGGAAAAAATAGTTTGTACTTAAAAATAGGAAAAAAATAGCCCTATTTTTTCCCTATTTTCTTTAAGGAAATAGGAAAAAAATAGTCTGACAAAAAATAAAAGTTAAAAAAATAGGGAAAAAATAGTTTTTACTTAAAAATAGAAAAAAAATAGCCCTATTTTTTTCCTATTTTCTTGAAGGAAATAGAAAAAAAATAGTCTGAATTTCCAGAAAATAGGGAAAAAATAGGGAAAAAATAGGGAAAAAATATATTTTCGCAACACAAAAAACTAATTTTATGTAGGAAATATTGTGTGCGGCCAACTCCAGTTCTGATACGGTTTAGGTTGACCCAGGCTTTTCTTGGGAGGTCGCTGCCACTTGGTTTTGCACAGGGCTTTGGGATGAACTCCTTCAGGTTGGTAGTGGACGAATTCCACTGGTCTGACCAGCGTTTTGTTATCCAAGTGGCTAAGGTGGAGGGGGGGGGGGGGGGTTCTCAGGCCGCAGCTCAGCAGCCTGTGTTGCAAAGTGTCTTCTAGGGAGACGCTGTCCTTCAAAGGCAGAGGGGGCAGGAACAAGGCATTTATCTCTGTCATGCTCTTGGGCAAGCTTAGCATACTGCGCATCTCGTCTGAGCTGAGCTGGTGGTATGCCAGATAATATTGGCAGGTTGCTGACTGGTGTTGCAGTGAGTGTTCCGCTGATTAGTCTCATAGCATCATTGAGGACAACATCAACCTTGTGTACATGGGTGCTGTGGCTCCATGCAGGTGCAGCATACTCGGCAGTGGAGAAGGCAAGAGCTAGAGTGGAGGTGCGAAGGGTGGTGAAATTAGCTCCCCATCCGGTCCCTGCAAGCTTCTTTAGGAGAGACACTCTGGCTTGGGTCTTTTGAGCTGTGGCTTTGGCATGCTCGTGGAAGGTGAGGCTTCGGTCAAGAGTGACACCTCAGTACTTCGGTGTTGAGACGAAGTTCAGCCTAGACCCATCTAGTGAGATATTCAGCTCTCGGTTGGCGCATCGGTTAGCCAGGTGGAAGACGGAGGATACAGTCTTTGGTATGCTTATCTTGAGATGCCATCTGTTGAAGAACTCGGCTAGCATTTTCAGGTCCTTCTCCAGTGATGTTTCGATTGCTTCGAAGGAGGGGTTGTTGAACCCCAGTGCGGTGTCGTCTGCGTAGGAATACTGCATGCATTCCCCCTTGGGCATATCAGAGACATAGATGTTGAAAAGTATCGGAGCGAGGACAGAGCCTTGCGGCACACCATCGCGGAGTTTCCTCTTCCTACTGCATTCGCCGTTTGATGTTTCGAGGACAAATGACCGGTCTTGTACAAGCAGCATGATGAATTTCACGATTCTTACATCTGGAATGGTCTGCACGGTCTTGAGGTATAGGCCACGGTGCCATACTGTGTCAAATGCCGCAGTAAGGTCAACAAGAACTGCACCAAACTTCTGCTTCTTCTGGAAGGCCGTCTCTATGTCGTTTACAAGCCTGACTACTTGGTCGGTGGTTGATTTACCTTTCCTGAAACCTGCCTGTGTAGTAGGTAGCTTCTCTTCGACAGTGTCAACGATTCTGGCAAGTAGCAGCCTTTCAAGTAGCTTGTAGATGTGTGATAGCAGACTGATTGGACGGTAGCTCTTGGGTTCGACTGCAGGCTTCTTGGGCTTCAGAATGGCAATAACTTTAGCGGTCTTCCATTTTGATGGAATAGTGGATGTTATCATGCAGGTAGAGAGAAAGGCTTGTAGCCAGGAAGTAGCTTTGTGACTCATGTTCTTGAGGAACTCTGTGTGAATGTGTGGATGTTAACGTACAAACATAGTATAACATCAATTAATGGAAAGTATGTACATGTTCATGCATCTTTTTCTAGTGGTATAGTGTGTTGAAGGAAAATTTGAATATTGTTTTAATAATCATGCATGTTCGTTATTAAAGTGATATTGAAAAAAAGTAATTGCACGTTTACATACTAAAGCTTTGACAAAAATTGAAAGGAGGAAAAAGTTATGTAGAGAAGTCGTGGATGAGTGGATACGTCGCCAGACTGTCGATCACAAGTGTTACGATAGGTTACAAGGTCCGCGGTTCGAGTTCCGCCATGGCACTAATGTCCTTTGGCAAGACACTGATCTACATTTGCCACTCTCTACCTAGGTGTTAAATCGGTACCGGTATGAATAAAATGCCTTAAAATGCTGTGAGCGTCGAAATCGGCAGCCTATCATAGCCGGGTAATGTTGGAGCGCCTTGAGGACCTTGCAAGGTCAATATGTGGGCTATATACATGTAAGAATCCAATATTATTATTATTATTATTAATATTTTACCTTTCAAAAATGTTCAATTGTAGGGCCTATATAATTGTTCCTGTTTTGAGTGTTCCATTAAAGGGGTTGGTGTATCTTGGAGGGTTGTTTGTCATTTAAATTATTCCCTATAATTTCCCTAAAATAGTAGTGCACACACAATGAATGTTATATTCATACTAAAAAAGTGGCGTGATAAAATAATTAAAAACCACTTACAATGTACGTTTGGTATCTTCCAAAATTATTTCACAACAACATCATAAACATTAAGTTAAACATTATTTTAAACCATGTTTGCTGCATTCAGCACAAGAAAATTTGGTTTACTAACATTTTCACGTCTACTTTTAACCAAACTTGCACTTCAACGCAATGCTTGTTTGTTCTGCAACACAACCAAAACGCCGACTTTATACAGTGTCTGCCCATTGCAAGCTCAGTACTTGCATTTTATTCAACCGAGTTGCCGTGTTAATTGCCACACATGCAACAATTTCAGATTTGTACAATTCAAATATTCAGAATCTCCTGGAGAAAGATGAGCTAAAAATTATAAGTGTTAAAGTAGGGGAGAACACCTGTACATGTAAGTGCGCCGAGTAATGACATCGGCTTGGATGAGTCAATCTCAACGCTACAGGATTCCTGTGGCCGTGGCAGAGTGGATGATGATGTGGTGCTGGTACCACCCATAGAGGCTCCAAGGCAGAATGCGCTGACCAATCTCATGACTCAAGCACGAGGTCTCGCATTGCCGCAGACAAAAAAAAAATCTGCCCACCCGCCCCTACTCCAGAAAAGCAATCTAGGACAACCAAAGAACTTTTTTTTTTTGGGGGGGGGGGGCCTTAATAAACACAGTGCACAGTGCACATATGCTAAAGTGCAGCTAAACATATCTGTACCTTTTACTTGGTGTGTCATCACTCGGGGGTTCAGTCATCTCTTCTGTTCGCGCCCTCTTTGCCATCGTGAATGGTATTCAGGCTGAGGAAAAATGTCAACATATAAATAGAGATACAAATATGAAAAATAATCACAAACATGGGGTACACCATATGGCGATTCACGGTTTGCCTGGGCCATAAACATTTACATGTATGTCCTAAAAATTCTTGACAAATTTCAATTTTCAGAGACTTTGTTAACTCTCACTGCGCTGGTCACTGTACGTGACAAACAGACGAGGTATTTGAAACACACATTGCTTCACCAACAAAAAATTGTATATAGTGATCAATTTATATCACTGCTTAGTGCATGATCGAGACAAGTACATGTATGCTAGATATTTTTGAGAAAGTTGCAAATTGTGTACAAGATCTTGAACAATGGTAAACGAATGAGAAAAAATTCTTGTTTGGGTTACAAGAGGTCACTGGTTCCAGTCACTCCTAACATTAGGGACTTTTAGATACGCACAAAGACAATAGGTCTATGCTACGATCGACGTCCTGTTAATGCACTGCCGTGAATGGACGTCACACGTATCAGTCCACGCAAATCTAAAAGTCTCTATTCTGAACAATCACAAACGAGGGCCAGAAACTATACCTGCATAGAGTGGTGAAGTGTGACGTCATCAAAAATCTATTTTTAGAATTTCTCAAATTTTTCTTCATTTTTTATTTTGGCTGAGATATGACCATCTGAATAAATATATGTCCTATGGGAACTCAGTGCTATAGTGCTCTGGTTCATAACATAAGAAACCAGAGCAATACAACACTAAAATCCCATAGGACATATATTTATTCAGATGGTCATGTCTCAGCCAATACTTAACATATATTCAATTGGTTTTCGACAATTGAACATTATGTTTGATGCTCTTTGGAAAATGAGAGCAATTTTTTGTTGTTTTTGGTCCAGTTTTTGAGGAAAAAATTCGCAACGACTCAACCAGCCAGTGAATAAGCAGGGGAGGGGGGGGGGGGGGGGGGGGGGGGAGAGCACATATCGTTGGTGGGGTGACAAAACCTCGTATCTCAAAAATCATGAATTTTCAGGAGAGCGAAAAAACTTTCCTGTCTCAACAAATTTAGTGCTGTGACACCGTCCTTTCTTTTTAAAACTGGAATATTTATACAATTTTTAATGTCATTGTTGAAATACAGTAAAATAATTGTTTTTATATTTGAAAGTGGTTACAAGGTTTTTGCGTTTATCTACATTGAGATACAAGTTTTTAGTTTGTATTCAAATTGAGATACGAGTTCTTACTTTCAAATCTGAATGAGTTACGAGGATTTGATTGAATAAGTTACGAGGATTTGATTGAATAAGTTACGAGGATTTGAATACACTAACTTCGGTACTGATAGGCCGTGTGTGAGTTACGAGGAAAAGGAATTACGTATCTTATGTTACGAGGTTTTGTCAGTGCAGCTTCAAAGGGGGTTAAAGTTACAAAGTTTAGTTTAAGGGTGTTTGTGTGGAATTCGTGAAAAGACCGAGAAGGATTTATCAGGTGGTGTCGTAGGCCATTAGGTACAAAATTATGCAAAAAAATCAAAATCTCAAAAAATTGAGATACGAGGTTTTGTCACCCCACTAACGATATTCTTTTTTGTGTGTCCAGGGAATTGGCAAATTATGCGATCGATATTTCGTTCAGTAGGGGGGGGGGGGCGCTACGGTCACTTTATGCATATTTATGTACGCATGACTGTGCCTAACTGTCGGGTTGCATACGATAGTATATGGTACGGTTTGGCAGGAGGTTATTTCATAAACCGGGAGATTCTAGGCCTACATCTTTGGCGTGAGATAGCGGGAGGAAGGCGTGGTGGCGGGAGAATGAGCGTGGTGGCGTGAGACTCCCTTCAAATGCGGGAGGGTCGACAGCCCTGCTATTGGCCTCCGGCCTCCCTAATATTTTAATAGAAGGTTGACAAATGTTAGTTATATTCAGGTACGTACGCAGTGGGGGGGGGGGGGGTTGGGCGTTAAACCCCCTCCCCCCTCAAATTTTTGTTATGTGTGTGTTTGGGAGGAATCCCCCCCCCCTCATTTTTTTCATTAAAAAAAAAAGAAAAAAGAAAAGAAATTAATGCTGAAGGGTGACAAAGAAAGTGACCTAACCCCACTCTCCCGCCTTTTCACCGGCTGGCTGAGTCATTGCAAAAAATTTCCTCAGAAAATGGACAACAACAAAAAACAAAAATGTGCTCTTACCCCCCATATCTTACCCCTTGCATATCAGTCGTTTATTTATTGATATAAAAATAATATCCATTTTTTTTTTGTATGGAATTTAATTTTGAAATGTGAACTGGTATTGCATAGCCTAACTGTTCTTAGATTACAAATAAAAGTTGATTGCCATTTTAATTAATCAGACACACGTCTATGTACTCATTAATTCTTGCTGGAAATCTGAAGGGGTGCACATGTATGCTTTTTTCATGTGTTTTTTTACATTTTGCCAAAACAGATTGAAATTATCTTTTAATATCTATACCATCTGAAAAATGTATTCACCAGCATATGCTATATTGGTTGCTATCACATCCACACACATTATTTCATTGTGTTTCTTTTTATTTACTGATTTAATTCTTAGAAACGCCTGATCTGCAAGACTACGTAAAAGAGAGTTTCATTTTTGAATATTTCAATTTATCAAATGACATTTCTATTCCTTTAACATTTTGACGACTGATGTGAAAGACTAGTCAACGCACCCTTGCGAAAAAAGAACCCCACTTATCCCCAAAGGGTGTGTTAAGACGGTATTCTGTTCTCAACGCACCACACCGCGCCGCACCACAACGCACCCTTTCGATGTAAGCCCACCCCCCTCCCCCCTCCCTCCCTGGCTGAGTCGTTGCGAAATTTTTGGTGCGATTTTAAAATTTTAAAATCCCCCCTTCAAAAAAATTGTGCGTAGGAAAGGAAAAAAAGAAAGAAAGAAAATTGACACGAAACAGGTAAGAAACATAACAACTTTTAAATCATGATCATTATTTGAACAATTGATGAAGATTTAGTTGATTTTTGGTATGGCTATCTCCACGCTTGAGTTACGGGTCAAAAATGGATACAAAAGTACACTAGATCCCAAGATCTTGAACAATGGTAAAACGAATGAGGACAGATTCTTGTTTGGGGTTCGAGAGGTCACTGGTTCCAATCACTCCTATCATTCTGAACACTCACAAACAAAGGCCAGAAACTATACCTGCATGACGTACCATGCTGGGTGTTCAGAAAGATTTCCTTTTGCAACAGCCACGTACGTACTCTAGCCAACATTCTCTCTTCTCTCCTTCTATACCTCCTTCAATCTATTTATATTATACTCTTTTTACTCTGAAAGTCTCATGTACTTTTTAGAGAAATTGTAATGTGTTAAAATTAACATTATAAATAGGCCTATAGGCCCTACTAATTATTACCGGTAGGCCTAATACTAGTTATCAGAAGCAGGGCTGTCAACCCTCCCTCATTTGGAGGGAGTGTCACGCCACCACGGTCATTCTCCCGCTGCCCCAAAAGCTCGTAGCAGGAGACTCCCACCATGATTTCCTCCTGCTCGCCCGCCGATGTAGAATCTCCCGGTTTATGAAAAAACCTCCCGCCAAAACGTACCGTATACCCCTCTCCTCCCCCCCCCCCACCCTTCCCCGGCTGGCTAAGTCGTTGCGAAATTTTTCCTCAAAAACTGGCCAAAAAAAATGTGCTCTCCCTCCAAACTTTAATACCAGATGGTAAATTTCTGTGCCTAAACTTAAGCCGTCGGTCCTATGATTGCTTACTAACAAGCACAGTCAGGTGAAATAACCACCACTAAACTCAACTAGATCTAGGTCTATATTGGTTTTGTAAACCACGCGTTCGTCTGCATGCACAAGCTTGTGTGTAGACGTCTGTAGCGACAAATGTTACAGTGCATTCATTTATAATTCACTGGTATACATATTGTGTTTTTAATCCAAAATGGCCGCTTTAGAAGTCATTGAGAGTTCGAGGATTTGGTATTACGCCATGTCCTCAGAACTGGTTTTAACTCGATTTATTATATAACGATGTTTATTCATTAGTATTTTGATCACATGACCAATTAACATAGATGTACGCGTATTTATTCATAAGTATTTAGATCACGTGCCTTATTAACATACATGTGCGCTTGTTTTGAACCAATCGCGCTGTAGTTGATTGGCGCTCTTCTGATTTTCCTGTGCGGGAATCAGTGAGCTGTTTTAATATTGGTATACACACATGCTGTTATTGTGTTGATATTTGTACCTAGAAAATTGTATCCAACGAGGATTGAACTGCTACGTCCCCGGACCATTCCCGGTGGACGTGCTCACCTATTTACATCTTGTACGTTTTGCAAGATATATTTTGACTCTCTCGATGTTCAACATTGACGACACTTTAATTCACCAGCAGTGAGAATAGAACATTTAATATGATCTAACGTTTTTCTCACCTGCATTATTGTTTGACAACCTTTTATCATCGACTTCATATATATAATTGTCTCGACATTTGATTCTTCGACCTGCATCGCAAGTCACTGAAGTTGATCTATTGACATTGACTGCATCATCATTGTATTCATCTGTTAACTGATTCATCATCGTTGTCTTCATCACCGTTGTCTTCATCATCGCTGTCTTCACCAGCGTCGTCTTCATCGTCGACTTCATCATCGCTGTCTTCACCAGCGTCGTCTTCATCATTGTTGTCATCATCATTGTCTTCAACATCGTCTTCATCATCGTGGTATTCACCTAGCTTCGATCATCGTCTGCATATCCTACGCGATCGACAACCAGCTCGTCGACCACTGTTTTCGACTAGCTAGTTTCTACATCTACCTAGAACTTGAAGAAGATCTAGGCCTACTTTGAATTCAACTCCAATGACTCACGTAACGTTAATTATATTGTGATTTATGCTTTGCATTGTTTATCATTGTGAGGCCTTATTTTGACTGACTGAGTGCCTGTTGTTGAGTGCGTACGCTTACT